CGGAAACGCAAAATAGGTGCGCGCCTATTAAAGGCACATGTGTACTTAACTAAAACACCAACGACTTTAGCACTATAAACGCAAAAGAGCGAACAGGAGAAAATTGGCATATATTTTTTAAATATAAACAGCCAAAAGAAAGTGGAAGCTGTAGAAGATAAAAAATGTTGCCCTGAAGGAATGAGCCTAATTCAAATTTCTGGATTTCGCCAGAACTATCGGATGCAAAACGAAACTATTCATGACAAGTTCACTGAACTGCCTTCTAGGTTTTAATAAAACACCCTAGAAACACAGAACAACTTCCCATAAATTTAATGGCAATGCTTTTAATAAAATATGCAAAACTACATGTTTACCTGTAATTATTTTAAAACAATTTCATCCTGTTCTCTTTTTACTCCCACATGCTAAGTGTGCTCTACCACTAAAGTACAGCCTCGGACGTGTTCTTATTTTTAAATGGCTTTACGGAGGCATAATTTCCATGTGATGAAATGTACAGAATGAAGTGTGCAGTTTACTGAGTGCTGGCGCATGAATGGACATGTCTGCCCACAGCCCCATGAGGTTATGGTGGATTTCCATCCCAGGGCAAGGCTGCCCCCAGCCCACTGTATCCCCCAGGCAGCGATGATGTGGTCATCAGAATAGTGTTCTTCCTGTTCCTATACCTCACAGAATGGACTCACAGAGTCACGCAGTTGGTGCTTTCATCTGAGATTCATCTACACTGCTTGCTGTGTGTACTGTGCTCCTGTTTATGGCTGGGGAGTATGTGGTTGACAGACTATATCACAATTTGTTTATCCACCCCTACTAGAGGACACTGCGAGTTTGGGGCTAAAGAACAGTGACGTGAACATTCATATGCAAGTCTTTGTGGGCCAATATTCATTTCTCTGGGGTAACGACGTAGGCATGAAATTCCTGGATCATAAGGCATGTGCACGCTTACAGGACTAAGACACTGCTAATCAGTTTTCCAGCGGAGTCTGCCGTTTACCCCTGCTCTGCATTCTCTCTGACCCTTGGTAGTCTCGAACTGTAATTTTAACTATTCTGGAGGTTTTTCATGGTATCTTATTACAGGTTTTAAACAATTTCCCTGACGACTAACGATGACGGTTACCTTTCTGGGTGCTTACTGACCAGTGTATATCTTCCTTGGTAAAGTATCTTTTGACACATTTTGCTTTACTTAATAAGCTAATTTTTTTAACAGTGAAAACATGTTGCATGCTTGCCCTGGTTTTCGGCTTGCCATTAAAGTCAGTATCAGTTTGCTGATTCAGACTACAGGTCATTTTCTACTTTTATGCTCAAGTGTTCCACTGCCACGTTTCTGTCCTTGCTTGTGTCTGTTCTGTCAGTGTGTTTTATTGGTACACATGTGCAGCACATACTGATTATACTCATTGCCGGGGAATTGGTACAAGTCCCTAACACACCTCATTTACAAATAATTGCAGCCCGTAGCAAACACCACACCCCAGAGGTCCTAGGGAGTCTTGGGAAGCACAGTGTTAGAATAGTGTGCCCTTCGGGAGCCTAGTGAGGCCACCAGCGTTACCCAGCCTCGTGGGCCCAGGTGCACAGTTCAGAATTTCCTTTGCGGTCAGAATTCACTTCTCAGAACATCGTTCGCTGGACTCAGACCAGCTTGGCCATGTGAACGCACTTGGAGTGGCTCACCATCACAGCAGACAGGGCTGGCGGGCTGGCGGCCACGTGCAGCATCAGTCACAGCACCCAGGGGACCTGCTCCCGGAATGACGCCCCAGCCTCCCACGCCCGCGGCTCACACCCGTGCCCGCTTTCCACCCGCTGCCAGGGGGCTCCTTCAGATCACGACTCTGCCTTGACCGGAAACCCAAAGAACTCAACTACATTCCCCGATTTCCTGACTTCCCCATAACGTTTTTCAGCATTTGAGACATGGCAAAGGTAAAATCACGAGGAGACCCTTCCGTGAGGACCCTGACCTGAGCTTCTGCCCACGGACGGCACTTCTCACTGGGCTCTCCCAGGACCTTCGCTGGGTGCCTCTGCTTCCCCAGCCCGTCCCTGTTGATCCTACACAGGGACGTGCACCTCCTCCTTCTACTTCTTCCTCAGCACACACACCTGGAACGGGAACCGGCATCCCCTCTCTCGTCCTAGGTGCCTGTTTGCACACTCATGGCCACCAGTGCAAATGGTATCTCAGGAGCCTGGCCCTGCGGCCTGATGCCCACCCACCAGAACCACTTTCTCAAAGCCCACTGCGGTGCTCGGGCCCACCCAGCTATTCTTACTGCAGCTTTCATGCCCTCTTGACTTTGTGTTGGCTTTTTGTTCAGGTCTCGTAAGTCTTGTAAGTGCTTTTCAAGGTTCCACATCCTGGCCCTCTTATGTGAAGACATGCTTCTTAACTCCAGGTAAATGACCTATAACACCACTGACCCACAAACTCATTTCTAGCCTCAACCTCTCTCTTGAGCTGTAGGGAGCATTTCTGTCTGTCTCTGGGACACCTTTACTTGGAAACGGCACAAGTACGTGGACTCAAGTCCATGTAGGCACTCTGCAGCCCGGAAGCTGACCGGGATGTCCCTTCCCTCACATCACATTTGCCGGGCACAGTCCCCATGTGCCCACTCTACCTTCACAGAGGCTCTGGACTCACCTGCTGCATTGACACTTTGCCCCTTACATGCACCTCGCTGCCTTCTGACCCAAAGCCTTCACGCACACTGTTCTCTTCCCCCTGCGTGCCTGCTCTACTCGGCTAAGGCTCAGCATCGTGGGCTGAATCGTCCCCTTGATAAATTCATAAAGGGATGGAAGCGCAAGGACCTCAGAATACATTTGATTTGGAAATAAGGGTTACTGTGGATGGAACTGGCTCACGCGAGTTCACACGAGTTCACCCATGACTAGGTCTTGTGAACACAGGGCACCAAGGTACAGACGTCCACTCAGGGAGGACTCACCATGAACAAAAGGTGAGCAAGCCGGAGCCACTCCAGCCTTCAGCAGGGGCCGTCCTTGCGGACACCTCCTCTACTCCAATCACTTCTGCTGCTTGTACCACTGTGCCTCCCACACACATCCTGGCAGCCCCAGCAAACCACTCAGAGTCAGAGTTCAAGTCGTAGGTCAAACGTTACTTCTCTTCCCTCACTCCCCCAATGAACCTGTTACGCACTGTCACTGTGCTCTTCCTTGATGGCATTTATTGTGTTTGCCTGATCACTAATATTCATCCCCTGCCAGTCTGTGCAGATCACCCGGGCACTGAGCCAGTCCTCCCCATCTTCCTGTCTGAAGCACTGGTCTCCATCTGAGGTGACCTTAATCATTAAGTACCCTCGTTTATTGCTTATTTCTCTCACCTTGGTTACAGAGCAGTGCCTGACACGTCACTGTGCTTACGAACTGTCTGCCATATGAACCCACAACTGTTTTGCTCACCATCAATTTCATACTCAGTGCTTAACACACAGGAATCTAGTGATACAGAAAACAATAATTACAGGGTACCTGTTGAATGAACGCATGAGCTTATTTAATAACTGCAGGCATTTCATTATAAAGAAGTTTATCATCTCAGGAAAAAAAGCACTTAAAAGACTGGAGCTTTTAACCATGCCCACGCTAAAGGAAGTCTTTTTCAGTAATGATAAGCTATTCAGCAGTCTACTCTTGCTTTCCAGTTAATATTTAATATTTAGGAACATATGCCAACAACACAGATTAGCATGGTTCTCAGCTATGAGTAACCTCAAAATGATTTAAATTCATGGAATAAAGACATAAAACCATTTTGGGAGGGTTAAGGTTTCTGCTGTCAAAGGGAAAAGGTTTAAAATAAATTTTTTAAGATGATAAAATCAAAAAGTGTCTTCCTTTGAATATTCTATATTGTTGAAGTAATACTAGCAACTTTAAAATTTTTTAAAAATATTTTTATCCATTATTCTATGTCTCAAAATGGATATTTACTTTTCTGTTTCTTATAGGTTTTGCCTTGAAGTGTAATAGTTCATGTAGCTGTAATAATATCTCTGACTATGGGAAAAACAGCCACATGGGAACAATAATAAGCCAATGAAAATTTTCTCTTTGGAAGAAAAACAGAATCACAAAAGCCAGAAGATACTATCCCAAAAGCTTGCATTCTGCTGCCCTTAATCAGAAAAATCTCCTGAAAGAGGTGCTTCTAAACAAGTCTTAAAGAATGGCAGAAAGCACTTACTGAGAAGAAAAACAGATTCACCTGTCACCAATCAGCTCAATAGACAAACCACACAGGGGACTGGAACCCAGACAAAGCCTGACCATTTATTTAATACAGGCTTGCTTAAATTTGAGCTTTTCCTTCTTTCATTTTTAACTTAAAATTTCTTGACTTCAAAAGGATCCCAACACCTTTTCCCAAAACAGGCTATCTCTGGAGATATAAGATAGACACCACCCAAATGACTGGGGGGGGGAGTCCTTTTATTTTTTAAAGTAAATGTGGTTTTTTTAAGTTTATTTTCAAAATTGAAACAAAAAAATCATTAAAAATTAATCTCATAAAAGCCTTTCTCAACAGTTAAAAAAAAAACTACAAACATGCATCATAACCAGCTACTCAAGATAAAGTTGTCACTAAAATAACACACATCAAATTTTTAAAATACGTCTGATAAAAATCACATTGTTGATTTTTAGGAAAATTTAGTTATTCTGAGTTTGTTAGAGAAAATAGGGACTGTCTGCACTCTACTTCATTATCTATCAAAAACTATTCCGATAAAATCACTGGAAAACTCAAAATTTAAAACAGCAGCTCCTGTTTATTTTGGACCTTCCAATTTCAGCCTTGTCATACTGCCCCATTCCAGAAAATAAATCTACTGAAGATACAACTTGTCACCCAGGAAAAGTACTAAATAAAATTTTACTTTAAAATATCTTTTCCCTCTGAAGACTGGCTTGTTGAACATATGAAACAATATAAAAGTTTCAACCTTTTAAAAGATGCTTTGTTGGGCTGAGGGTGCGGCTCAGTGGTGGAAGCTGGCCCTGGACTTGATCCTCAGCCCTGAAAAGAAGAAGAGAAAAAAAGGTCAACAAGGGAGGTACAGAGTCGCCCCTCCTCATTCACGTCCACGCAGCAAGCACGAGCAGAAGCATGATCCCCAGACACGCGCAGCATCCACGCTGGGGAGCCTCGGCTCCACTCGGTACTCGTCTCAAACGTGAACAAGAAATACAGCAGCACCTCGGTCCACAAACTCAGTTTCCATGACTCTGTTCACAACCCAAACCGGACAAGGAAACAAATCAGATTTTATTCAAGTAGGGCCAGGCTGTGATATCTCAACAAGTTTTACGAAGTTCAACCAGCTCCTAGAAATGCTCTTAAATGGGACAAGCAGTACAAGAAGCTAGGCAGTGGCTAAGAGTCAGGCAGAGCCATTTGTACCTCGCAGGTCCACCACGCCTGAAACCACAGCCAACACTTCATGCACTGCGGCGGAGGCCCAGGGCACCACGGAGGCAACACCCAAGGCCCTGCTCCACAGTGTCTCTGCTACTGCAACTCTCCAACCCCAGGCCAAACACACACCTTGTCAGGACAAGAGCTGCTGCTATTCTCAAAGACATCAGTATCTTGAACAGAAAAAAACATTAAAAGCGAAAACAATGTGATATTTATATAAATTACCTCATTCGGGAACCTACTATGCCTGAAACTAAGATAGGTATTTTGAAATACTAATTTATGAGTAATAGAGAAAATACCTTGACAAATTTATTTTAATCTCAACTGCCTGAAAACCATCCAGATGGTCTAGCTGTGAGCAGAAGGAACGGTCAATCACAAGCTGACAAGTAGGCAGGAGAATGAAGGCTTATACTTCAGGTATTCAAACAAGTATTTCAAAAATGTGCCTGTCTGAACAGCATTTCAAGGTGTGAGGGGAAACACACACCTGCTTTCAGTTTCCAGTTTCCCGTTAATCTGGCATCAGGGAAGAAACTTGATAACTTGTTATCTCTGAAACTGAACCTTGAGCTTCTGTAATTACTTTTTCGACACTCAAGGTCTTTTTCATTTGGCTTTTGAAAATATCTCATCTACATACTCTGAGTTTATACAGTTGTGCATTCATCAATAAACCTACCCACTGCTGGAATGTTTCTGAGATGCATTACACCTAACTGTAAATACCCACAGGGAGTCCTTTTAACTAATCCCCTGCCCCTAGGGAAGCCAGCTTAACTTCAAGTCATCTCTCTCCTCACACTGGAAGCAAACTTGATGTTTCAGATTCCTTGCAGCTACTTTAGCTTCCTTTTGGCTAAGACTTTTCTTTCGAGGCTTCCTAGGTCAAAAGACTGCTGGCCCTCTGCAAGCAAGGACTGCCCTGGTCACCTTCTTCAAAGGAAACATCATCTGACGGTCTCTGGCCCAGCTCGAACATCAAAGTACCCCAGCCCTTCCTATACCTCTGGAACTGGCAGGTTAGTCTGCACAAGCTAAAACCTTCAAAGAGCTGGCCCCCAGCCAGCCACAGTCACTCCCATCCAAGTTAATCCTCCTTAAGGAAGAAATGCGGGTCTTGTTTACCAGGGCGAGCTAAGCTTTGTCTCCCTACAGGCGTGGAGCATTAGTACATTTGAGGCTGTGCTGACCTCAGTGTGGGAAGGCACAGAGCAGACTGTGGTTAATCACCTCCTGGGGTGTGAGCGCCTGCACCTGCCAGCACTGGACGCGCACACTCATAGGTGTGCAAGGTGCTATCACCAGCACACTGTTACAGGGTCCAAGGGGACGGCCCAAGTCTGGGGCCTGCACAGAGGATCAGGGAAAAACCACACAGAGGCAAAATGGATTTAACTGCAGCTTGGCCAAGCAGAGAAGACTGATCCGCCTTCCCACATCCACGGAAGCCTCACAACTTACAGGAGCAGAGTGAGAACAAAAGCCCAGGAGCACACACATGTAGGTGCTGCCAGGCTGTGGGCCCAGGGGAGTCAGGTGGGAGAATATGCTGCACTTCTGGTTTTCCAGGTTCTGTGAGTCCTAGGCTCGAGGGGCCAGGGCTTAGGGGACAGCGTCAGTCTCCACTCTCAGCAGGGCAGGGTCCCCTTGGGAAGCTGGGATGGAGGTCAGCAGGACAATCAATGGCTGAGACGGGAAAAAACAAAACTAGGCTTCTTTAAAACTCCCTCGCTTTAGGGGCACCCCATTACAGTTCTGGGCACTCACTGTCCAACTCCACAGCGCAGCTCTCTGCCATCGGGAGCCAGAGTGCCGAGGGGCGAGAACCTGCTGCTCAGCCCACGCAGCAGGAGAGCGGCACGCGGGGCCCTTCCTTCTCCAGGGCCATCTCCTCCAGGCTGTGCGCTCCCTCCAAGCATCTCCCCCCACACCCAGGCAGAGCCTTCAAACTCACTCCTCTGCAAAGCTCTAGGAATTTCCCCAGAATGGCACACACCCAGAGACCTGCTCACCACCCTGTGGCACTGCTGGGAGGGGAGGAGCCTTAGGAAGAAGTGAGCTCATGGAGGCTGTACCCTGAAGGGACATCGAGGCCTGGACCCTTCCTGCCCTCCTGCTGTTCTGCCCTCTGCCACCATGACCTACTGGGCCAAGTGTCAGGGTGAGAAACTCAGAAACTGTGAGCAAATAAACCCTTCCTCTTTTGCAGCTGCTTGTCTCAGGTGTTTCCTCACAGCGGCAGAAAGCTGACTTGCATGATGTTCTCTTCTAAATAATGAGAGGGCTCTGTGAAATACCATACCATAAAACAAGACAGAGCTTTCATTCTGTCACACAAGTTAGGAACAATTTCATTAGGAGAAAATATCACTGTTCATACTTTTTGAACAAAACTCAACCAAGGGCCTGAGGATCACAATTAAAAAACAAGCTTATGATTTTATAAGATCCCTATTAATAATAATTGTTATTGTCCATTAAATCATAATTGTTCATCTGTCTTGCAATCACTGCTTATTAACAGGAAGTAGCTATTAAATAGAGGGGCCAGCTGGGCAGGCGTTGTGTGAACAAAGAGGCTGTTTGTTCACTTGTGCACAGGCATGTGAGGAGGCCGAATCAGCAGCAAGTGAGCAGAGAATGAAGAAGTTAAAGGGAAAGGGAAGGGTGACCGCCTTGAGGGGCTGGGGATGGAGTGAGGTCATGCTCTGCACGCTTCAGGATGGGCAGTGATTGCAGATGTCATTTAGTTCCCTGGAACTGCAGCGGCTGGGACATATTTTACTGTCACTATTCTTCTTTACGGCTTCCTGCACATCTGCCACCAAGGCTTGACGGTGCCCAGCCATGCTGGGTGCTGCACTCCCGCCCACCTGGCTGCCCAGGTGCAAATGCCTTACCCACCGGGCGTGACAGTAACAGTAAATATAAACAAATTATAAGAGAAACTGAGCAAATTCTATCCACTGCACTTAGGATTCTTCAGTTGACTTTGAAAAGCCAGCTTTATTGGAATTGGTATTATAGACAGCTAAATTATATAAAATTAATATGCAGTTAGAGTGATGGGCCCTTGAGGAGATCAGCACAAAAAATAAAGACATCAAAACTGGCTGGAGGCAAATCTGAAGAGGGCCAGGCCTGCAGCCTCCTCAGAGCACAACAGCAGCTTGAGACTGTGCTGTGATCAGCACCACCGAGCCCAGGGGCCCAGACAGGCACCAGACACGTGGGGGGCCAGAGAGCGGGAGCCGTTCTCCCCATGTATCCCTGCTACGTGACTCGTAGATTCCTGGTGGCGTCAAGTCCTCACTGCCCTGCGACTGCAGGGCCCCAGTGCCCAAGGCATCTGCCAGAGGCTCTGTGACGTACGCTGTTACACACAGAGCACAGGAACAGACAGGTGAATCCACCTGTCTTCTTTTTAGTCAGACTTGAAAGCATCTGCAAGCAATGTGAAACAATGTCCTTATTCTAATGCTTTTGAGAAATAGTTGTTATTGTTCATGAAATATGTGATTCATGTTGAATAACATGTGCAATACGTTTATTTATAACAAATTAATGAGTAACCTTTTCTTGTTTAAATTTCCGCTCTGGTACATGGTGGTAGATAGAACTCCCACAAACAAAAGCTCTCTGAGGCCCTACATCAGCTTCAAGAGCTTTTGTAAAGGGTTCTCTGGGCTAGGAAGCTGGAGCGCTGCTGGCCCAGGGGCTGGAATGTGACGGGAAACCGAGGGGACAGTGTGCTGGGGAGGCAGCACACAGATGGATAACTGCTTGCCTGTGTTAACTCGCACCTGTAACCATGTCCCTGGAATAAACTGGTGTGTGTTCTGCGAACCCCAGTATGCTCATTACTTCCAACTAGGTCGATCTTCTTAATGTAATACACGGATGACTCTCAGTGCTGGGAGGAGGAGGACCTTATATTGCCATAGATGCTTAGCTCCAAATAAAGGGCACTCCAATTCAAGGTAAGTTATATCACAAACTTTCTAAATATCAGGCATCTTGGAAATGTCCTGAAAAGATTTTCATTTAGTCAAAGTGCCAGGCTAGGAACATCTGCCTACAATATTTTATTTCAAAAGAAAGTCATCTTTTCCGTGCTACACAGTAGAATCTAATTTTTTCTTCCAGTTCGTGTGTTTTCTTATTTTTTAGTCCACGTGTGTAGTACATGTTGAGACTCCTTGTGGGAGTTGACATGTGTGCTCACACATCTTCGTTCCATTTATGTACTGATTTAGGGGGTCGGGGATCCAGCGCAGCGCCACGGAGCCGCAATGGCTTTCCTTCTCTCCCCTCCCTGCATCTCTTGTTCTACTTCCCATTTGAGAAAGATCCCCCCGCACTTCCTATTATGTTTTTGTACTGTGGGTGTCTCACATAAAAAAGGAACCATTTGCTATTTAATCTTGTGTGTCTGGTTGATCTCATTGTGACCTCACACTGCACCCATTTTCCTACGTGTGATTCAAGCCCCCTTCTTTATGGCAGTGTAACACCCGTATACACAGACAGCACATTTTCTGTACCCATTCTTGAGCATAGGCCCTCAATATAGAAACTATAGAAATATATCT